GAGTTGTATTATAATTATTCAACCAACTTACCATTTTTTATTTTATTTAATAATAATTTAATTCTTGAAAAAAAAAATTTAAAAATTTTTTTTTATTTGGTTGATTATCAATTGACCGTGTAACAATAATGTGTTTATTATTATAAAACTAGAGTGACGAGTGACAGTGGCGATAACCACCACCACCATTCTTAAAACACTTACTCATATGTATCTTTAGTTTCTCCTTCGCGTTTCCTTCTTTTAACGTCTTTTTTAGTCATTTTTAAAAAATTCAAAAAGAAAAAAAATTATTATTTGATCGACAAACGCGTGCACATTAATTATTTATCCTATTGGTTTTTTTTTTTTTTTTTTGGAAAAAACTATTTTTTGACAGATGATAAAACGCGAGTGATGTTATTTGGCACGTTTGGTTCTAAATAGAAACATGTTAATGACAGAGGTACTTTTTTTTATTTGTATTGATATAATGTGGCGTCTTTTAAATATTTTAATTGGAATCAAAACACGGAGCAGATCTTGTTGGGTAATTACAAGATTCTCATCAATAGTAAACAAACGATTGGTATTTGGCTTTTTGTAATCGTTATTAATATTATTAATATTATTATAATCACAAGAAGATGTCAAGGCAGCATGACTGTCAAAAAAGAAACATTTCGATATGCAATGTTTGATTATTGGAAATTGGCAGACGTTGAAGCACGCACGCTACCTTGAACACTTTACAGTCATTCTCACACATTCCTCGTGTATAAAGGCTAATCTGACCTGCTCCCTCCGATGTATACAACGATGTAACAGAATTCCAGGGGGCGGGGGCATGGCCCTGGAGTTTATCAAGACTGCATCAATTGTTAATGACACTTTCACTAATCTTCCCTCACAGCACCCAGACCAGAGAAGGCTGCTGGCATGCTAGCTGAAAGTTTCCTGCAATGATCCTACCTCTAGGGCAAGGATGGCACTGTGACCAAGTTGTAACTCTGCTGATGAATATTAAGAGAATCTGCAACTCGTTTCAAGCACATGAGGTCGCAATTCAGAACAGGGTTGGCGGCCCTGAAATTGCATTTGGACTCTGATGTTAAGAGGAAAGTTGTAAAATAGTGTTGTTTGTTTTGTATAATCATTTTCGTAAATTCTCTGTTTAACCAATTTATAATTTTGGGTAAGGGACTAAATGGGGTTTTGCCCAATCAGTCCCTGTCCTATAGGTTAAAATTATCACATGATCATATACATCTTTGTCAGTGATATGGCCAATAAGAAAAAGTCATAAAATGGTTTGGATTTTGTTTTTTAAATGGAGGCAGGGTTGTTGGTGAGCAGGCATGCCACTGACAAGACAGCAACCCAGGACTCAAAACTCTGAATTCAGGGAAATCCAAAACAGCAACCCAGGTTGCAACCTCCTGAGCTGCAGAATTTCATACCAGTTGCAAACACCAGTTTTATTTTAAAGAGGGGTATAACACAAAGCAATCATCACACAGATGCTGATCCTCATCAGTGATCAATGCCCATATGGTAACAGCCAGCCTGGTCTGAGGGGAAGATAAGAAAAGTTTTGTCCAAAGCCTTCCAGCATGTTCAAGTCTGTTTCACTTGTGGAAAAAATTCCATGGTGCTGAATTGTGCTTAATTGCACTGTCTTGCATGTTTGTGATAGGAAATTTAATTAAATCTGACACCTGCAATCAACATCAGATTTATTATTCATAAGGAACTATACAATGGGAAGGAATTTTTTTTTTTTGATCCCCCCATTTATTTATTTTATTTATTTTTTTTTATTTTTTTTATTTTTGGATATGTACCTGACTTGGTTAATAGCGGGAGAGCATTAATCGGGAAACGTGATCAGGATATAGTTTGGATATATTGTTTAGTATTGTTTGATAAGAAATTATTTACGATTTAGTATGAATGAATTGAAAGAAATTGTTTTATTAACATTGATATTAAATAAATATTGAAATTGTTCATGAGATTTGGATACGATCTCACAATAGCATTTTACAAATCAAGTTATTTACCTTAATGTAATAATTATTATATCAAATTAATTTAACTAGTTTCAAAAATTGATAAAATTGGATATTTATAATATTTATAAAAAAAAATTTTTCATGTGTATGCACTTTTTTTTTTGTTTGTTAAAAAAGATTTCAGTGAAGTTTAATATGCATTGTTTTTTTTCAAATAGCTCAACTGATAACTAAATAGTTTCAAAAAGATTTGATTTTCCATATCCTTTATTAAATAATATATATAACAATAATCTCTTATTTGTTTCTGTTTTAGTTGATCAATAAACCTCAAGTCTATCTTATCCATTTTTAGTATGTAACTAGAATTAGTATTATCAACCAGTAAAAAAACCTTGGTCGGCTAGACAAATCACAATTATTTTTACCAAGTCTATTTCCTTTCCTTTGTAAATAAATATCAGCTGATGAAAACAACCTTTCAGACTGCCGATGTTATTATCATCACCACCACTATCATTATTGTTCTTTATTAGCATTATTATTACTATTTACTAATAATAACACTCATGTATCTTCCAATTCGTCGCATTATTACGAGTATTGTGTTTTTTTTTGGGCAAATAAATGAATGGGATGTTTTTTTCTTTTGTCATTCTAAGCAATGAAATGAATGTCAAGAGAATTTTCTTATCACCTTACATCCATGATCCGGCTGACATCACTAAATAAAACACAAATTGAAAAAATACATGAATTAAAACACAATACAATACCTATCCATCTATGAATAACGATGAAATACGTAGATATAGAGTAACGTCGTTGCTTCTACAGAGTTTCCAGCTACTCCGTATCAATTTTTTAATAGACAGGCTTGGGTAGTTCTTACGACAAATTTTGACTAATATCAAGCAGCGGCAATTTTTCTTATTCCCCAATTTCTTTCCTTTGCAATATGTGATATGATCAAATTCTGTTCGTCTTATGCTAATGCTCACAAGCTCTGCAGAAATTGTATACAGAACTCTAATCGGAACTTCGCCAAAAAAATTTGACATTAAGCCATATTAAATAGTATTCTGTCTATTAATTTAGTTTTTCAAAAAAGGTTGCAACAACTATTTTTTATTAGGGCCTTTAATAATACACTCACCTGCCAGACAATGACATTTTTTGTGTTTTGCACAAAAATATAATTTGGCAATAAATATGTAAATCATTTAATTTTCCAAGACTTTTTTTTGTCATAAAATATCTGAAAACTTCGCAAAGGTATTCAAAGTATAACGAACAAAATAAAAATGATCAAAATTCGTTAGAAATTAATAAAGTTGCATTGCATGTATTGAGAAAATTTACAAATAATTTTCAAAAATCATAAAACTTCTTATTGTATGCTTTTTGCCATCCATAATCTATTGCCACATTCAAAATATGTAAATTCTATTCAATAAAGTTTATTCGAATGTATTATAAAAAAAAAAAAGGAAATAAGCAATACAAATTTGATTTCTTGGACATATATATGATAATTTTCAAAATGCTAAGGCTCAGCAAATTTTTAGTTTAAGAAAAAACTAGCTGATAAGTTTTGAAGCTTGAGTCATGAACGATAAAACTTATCGGTTAACTTTTTTAAAATGGTACAAGTTTTTTTGTTTTAACATTTTGAAGGTACTTACTATACATAAGCAATTAATTGATTATATTGTTTTAAAACTTTAATATTGACTATTACTATGGCGAAATCTTTTGACTTTCGCACAATTGCGAAACTCTCTAGTTCAGAGTCAATCTGCTATATTCAATGATGCGGTTTTGGAAACCAACACTAATATACATCAAACCAGGCGATCATTATGAAATTTTCCAATATCTGCCTGAATCTTCGAAGTCAGAAAAAAATAAGATACTTTCAACTACATGACAAAAGGTGACAAAATCAAATGTGATGTAAAATTCAACGATCTCAAGTCTTCCAAAATTAGAATTATCATGTGATATTTCTTCGAGCATATAATGTAAGAAGGCGAGATCAATGTATCATTTTTGTTTATAATTTATTCAACATGAACAATCAATCATATATAACTCCATTTGGATAATTAACATTAAATGTAAAATTATGCAAATAAATTTCTATGCGATATTTTAGATATTAATATATAATTATATATAAAATTTAATATATAATAACAAATACAGAGAAATGACCTTATATAAGAAATGCACAATTGTAAATAACATATATAAAAAAAAAATCTGCTAATGTAGTTAGTTAATTTGTTACAATATCTTTACCTTTGTAAACTAACCACCACCAATTATTTAAAAAAAACATTGGATCACGTTCTGACTCGGACAATTTGGATTGTTTTTCGTGATCCATTGACCATGGCTTATCAACAATATAATGAACATTTTTAACAGCTGAGTCTTCCCATATCTCACTATGAATATTTCTAAGAAATTTCAAACCATTGTAAATGTACGGTAATGGAATCCATTTATCTTTAAAAAATTCATTAAGTAAAGATTGATCAGGAAATATCAATGAATCAATATTATTATGGTTTACTAAATATTCTATGATGCTGTTGTAGATGTCAATCGAAGGGTTTAATACCATTAAACCTGAATTGAAATAATCGTTATGATTTGTAGATGGCGGATTATTGGCTGATTCCGGTTTAAATGGTCCGTATGTATATGCGCAATTTTTAGGAATCCTATAATTTTTAAAAATTAGATTTAAAAATAAAATAAAATAAAATTTAAATTTTCAAAACATACCAATTTTCAGGATAACCTGGTATTTTGTTTGGATTACAAGTACAGGCATGACTAGCGGCAATAGATTTGTTGTCTTTTAAATCTTTTTCCATCAAAACATCGATATTTCCAATAACTAGCATATCAGCATCAAGAAAAACCACTCTTTCAAATTCAGTTAATTCCCAAACACGAAATTTAGTCCAAACATCAGCATAATACGTTTTTATATATTTACTAGGTTCTGTTGTTGGATTGACTTTTTCAACTGGTCTAAGAATACATCCTTCTTTGATTAATATTTTCCATTCCGTTTCAAATGTTGATAACCCTTCCTCATTCACATTTTTTGTATGCATTACAACTAATGGATATTTTGAATTGACTTTTTTAAGTGAACGTGCTAAACAAATACCACCCTTAATATAAGAGCCTTTTGTAATTAAAGTTACCCATGCTTTAGATGGTTTGTTGACCATTTTACTCTTTACTGGTTTTTTTTTTAAAAAAAAATATCTATATCGACACAAATATAGTGTTAATATTAAATTTCTGTTCAATGATCTACAACAATTGGTATTTACGAAATAAGAATATCTATTACTATTATTTTACTATATTAATACATTCATATATAAGCATTCCGTATACCAAAATTGAGCAAAGAATGTGTACAAATAAATTGCGTCATTTTTTGTAATAATAAATACATTTCTGTCTACTCTGCATATATTGTTCCACCTATTGTTTGTGGAAGTGATATTTTACTTTAAACAAAAATGTAAGAGTACTTTGTTGAGAATTAAATCATTACCGTGTGATTTATGTTTAAATAGGAACATGAAAAATAGCAGAAAAATATAGCCTGTTTATTTATTTGCCAATTTTTGTTTGCTAAAGGAGGTCTTGGAAGGAAAGGACAATGTTATGTTAAATTTTCATTTATTGTTTAGCGTAATCTTCAATAGATGAGATTATAAATAAAACATATTTTTCTATCCTGATATTCTTATTATGACCAAACTTTTTTTTTAATAGTAGTGATAGGCAGACAAAAAAACCGTCTGTATCGTAGTAAAATTCGTGTTATGTACACACACTCTCTACCCTTAATTTTTCAAAAACTTTGTTGTTTCATCAATATAATTATCCCTCATTATTATCAATCATTATCATTATTACAAAGTTGTTAGCTGTAACCACTTTTTGACTTCCAAAATATTTCGGAATTCCGAATTGATTCCAAAATGCCGAATTATACATTTGATAATATGAAATAAAAGTCCTAGACACATTCTCACTTCCTGCAGAGTTATTATATATAAAAGTTTTATAATCATGCCTCTTGATTGAATTTCAAGTTTCTAATTGATGCTTCCACAGTAGGATTTTTACTGCTAGCCTCAATTGTTCGCGTTTTTGAGCGAGAAATTTCCATGTTTCATTTATTAATGATGAAGGCGGTTGATTAAAAAGATACAGGTAATCTTTACGAAAAGAAGGGTTTTCTGCATATAAGTCAGTAAACTCTGATATTAAAGTATCTTGAGTCAATTTTACCTGCCATTTGTGTTAATTTCACACACACCATTTCAATTCTATTACTCGCTGGGGTAATTATCAGTGGATTCTAAAGAAAATTACCATAAGTAAAAATTAATTATGTACCTCCGCCGCCATCAATAAACACCCTGTCTTTAGAAGGACCATAACTAAATTCACATTTTGTAAAAAATAAAAATAAAGAATATGGTGCATATCATCTATAAATGTCAAAATTTTCATGTGGCTTCAAATTGTATCTAGTCCCACAATTTTTGTCATCAAAAAAATAAACCAGATTAAATAATTCTCTTTCAATTCCATAGATTAATTTTTTTCGGAAGTTGATAGAGTAGAGTTTAAAAAGTGAACAGTTTTATTATTCAATTTCAGACCAATCAGATCGCTTGTCACGTGAAAACTTCGTATGTCCAATAAATTGATAACTTTCATTTGACATATTTCATACCATATCCGTGTTAGATTTGTCTTTTTTTTTGGAGAAATGTAAAAATGTTGCACAAACTATTTTTGATACACCCAATTAACGATATATTTGTAAAACTAAAGCTAATATACATATATATAAGAAAGGTTCGTGGTTTTTTATGCAAACAACTTCCTTATTTGTATTTCTTAGGTCAAGATTGATGAGGTTTTTTATAATAAACTGAACACAGACCTCTCACCTATTCTTAATTTAACGTTAATAAATAATAGATAATTTAATCTTGACATAATTATTTTTCATGGAACCAATTGAGGATTTTTATTCTCTTTTATATCAATTATTGAATCTATGCTTGAAAATACTTCTGTCTGCCTACTTTGCTTGTCACCACAGGACCAATTTAAAACCTCTTCAATTTTAAAATAAACAAAAACCTACAAAGTGAACATAAAATTATATATATAGGGATAAGTGTATATGAAAAGTAATGTAAATAATAATCATAATGGTTCTAATGAATATCAAAAAGCTATTGATTTTTTAGAAAAAGGTTGCAATTGTGGTTGCTCTTCAAGAATTCCCAAGGAACAATTTGCAGAATTAAGAGAATCATTTCAAGCCCTTTCTAAAGTAGAACAAGACATATTTTTAATGGCCCAACTTAAGGCAATGGATGGTGGGTCAATAAGCAGTAGTAG